CTAAACTAACATCATATCCAATGAAACTGTGAGGAAAAGAAAAACTCGGCAGGAATCAAGTCTTGATTTTATTTATGACTGATCTTCAGCCACCAGAGCTCTACTCCAGATTTCAGAGCATCAGGATCGATTAGGAGCTGCTGGTCAGATGCATAAAATAACTGGTTTTAACAAGGTGACCATGTAACCGTGGCTGATGGTTCTGGCTGCTTTAGGACCGGTTCTAGGGGCTGCTGGACTGAGTGAGGACTTTGTTTTTTTATCACTGGAATGACCTGAATATTTCTAAAAATGTTTCTCTGTTTCAGATGTTTGAGATAAAGTTGAAAGAAATCCAGTTAATCTATGAGCTCCTTCAGGCCGATCAGCACTAATGATCAACCATCAACCTGAAGCTTCTCTGGAATTAAACATTTAAAGTTGTTAAAATGATGCAGGAAGCAAAAAGCATCATGCTGATGTTTTTATGATTAAATAGAGAACTATAACCAATAATTCACTGTATGACACAGGCATCATTCCTCACAGCTGCAGTTATAACTCCTATTGCCAGTCCGACACCAGTTCCAACAACAGCTCCAACGGGACCAGCAACAGCTCCAACAGCAGCTCCAAGCTTTACTGCATCCCAAACAAACTGGTTATCCTCCTCCGCCTTTCTCCTTGCCTTGTTAGGATCCGTACCTGGGTTGCTCCTCTGAATTATCTCAGTCTCTGCTCTTATAGCTTCCTCGGCTTTTTGTAACATATCATTGGTGTAGAAGCTTCCTCCATTTTTCTGAACCATTGTGTTGATCTTCCTCAGCAGCTCTCGTACCTGAGATGGTTCCCGGTTTCTGTTGTTGAAGACGTGATGACCTCCCCTACACTGATTGACGAAAGCGCAGAGAGGTGAACTTCTATGAATGAAGTCCTCTATGGAGACCTCCTCCTCCTCCAAGTCATCCCCATGAGTGAACAGCACCATGGTGTAAACTGCTGCCATCTCTCCAAACACCGTCTGAATTAGTTTGACAGTTTTTTGTTCTTCTTCTGTGAATCTATTTAGTTGGATCACAACCAGGAACACATGAGGACCAGGAGCAGCATATGAGATGCATCTAACTATCTCTCTTGTCACCTCCTCCTGGTTTCTGGTGTCAAACAGACCTGGAGTATCAACCACTGCCAGAGTCTGACCCTCAAACTCTCCGATTTCTTTCTTGCAAACTGTTGTCAGGGAGGAAGGAGACAGCTTAGATTCAAAAGCTCTCCTTTTTAGGATGGTGTTTCCTGTTGCACTCTTCCCAACTCCAGTTTTTCCAACAAGCACCATCCTGAGGTCTGGTTGCCGTGGTTCTGTTGGAGAACAACACATTAATGAGGATGATAGTGACTGGAGGTCAATGCAGTTCCTCTTATTAAGTTGTGTTTGAGCCAGTTGACCACAGCTTGTTGACTGGTAGAACGGGACAAGGTGGGATCAGATCTGGGACTGTACAGATCAGGTCTACTTTGATCA